GCACTCTTGCCTGCCCCCAGGAAACCCACCCCCATGCCACAGCGCCTCTCCTCTTACCTCCCTCACTAGGCTGTCTCACAACTCTCCCCTAGAAGAGCAAAATCAGAATTCCCCAAGGGTGAGGGGATAGGGGTCACTTCATCTACTAGAGGAATCGTAGTGGTTGCAAAACGTACAGCCATAGAAGACCTACACAGGAAAAGACCCGAGCCTCTAGTTTATTCCACTGGTCTCTATGGTTGGGGTTGGGGCTTGAAAAGTCATCATCGTCTGCTGGGGTTTGGATGGGAGCCCAGTAAATACCTGGGAGCTTGGGAGAGCTCTGGAGCTGCCTCTGCCTGGAGGTGCAGGTGGGAGTCTACACCTTCCTTCATCCGGCCCCTAGGCTCAGCTCTACCATGCCAGCAGACGCTGTGTGCGGGCCAGCAGGCTGGCAGCCTAGGGCTCGAGGAGGTGGGAGCAGGTGGTAAAGACGGGTGCCAAAAGCCCTGGGGATGGAGACATGAGCTGGGCTCCTGGGAATGGAACCCTGGAGCCAGGCAGATTTGGATTAACCAGCGGCATCCTGCTCTGTCTAGGGCAGGCTGAGCCTGTGGACACTCACTTCTCACGGCGTTGCACACAACTTCCCGCAGCTGTCTTGTGCTGGAGGAGTCAGGGTTTCTGAGATGCCATGAAGTTTCCTCAGGCTGACAGAACCCTCAAAGCTGGAAAATGCTGGAGATGGGGAGACAAGAGCTGAAGTAAGGCCACAAAGGCAAACACGGGCGAGTCTGCTGCCGCAGTGACCTAACCCTGACCATAAGGCCTTGGCGACAGGGTCCTCGAAAACCCCACAGCCACTGTGGCATCACTATGGGGCTCTGAGGGTGCTCTGTGTACGCTGGGCTGGTCTCTCAAAGGCCTTTCTGGGAAGCTCATGTTGCAGGTGCTAAATGAGGGCCTCCCATGGCAAGAGGGACGTTTTCAAATTTGGGTCACAATCCATTGAGGACAGTGAAATCTGTTTGGTGGATCCCAAAAAGAAAGACAGAAGATAAAAGGAAGGGACCAAGGGAGGGAAGAGGAGGAGGGGGGAGAGAAAGTGATAGAAAGCATTGCAGGCATCTTGTTTCATAAAATTTATATATATATATATATATATATATATATATATATGTACATGGGTACACTAGACCATGATAAAAACTTATTTCTTACTATGGATTTCAGTTAAAACTTTGAAAAACACTGTCCAGGGAAGGCCCTTTTGTTTGGGTTGATTTCGTTGTTTATAGCTTCTTCCATTTATTCATTCCATTTTCACCATCTGGATTTTAAACAGAGAGAGCAGCCCTGACATGGCATGGAAAATATAAATGAGTTTGCCTTTCTGGATTTAAATTTTTTTTTTAATCTCTAAAACAAGAGACCCGCCTGCGAGCCTGGTGGCTTCTGTTGCTATGAATGCACGAGTCTATGTCTCTTAGAATGTTCTTTGGGAGCTGGCTGAGGAAGAGTCTTCCATTCATTCCCACCATACCCATAACCATAAAATTTTTAAGGGGAAAAATGGGCCCTGAAAAAAGGAAAAGCAAACAGGTAGATGGGTGTGTTCCAGGGAGAGCTCAAAGGGCACATTTTACCTGGAGAGCTGCCTCTGGACAGCTTATAAACCTCTGCCCATGGGAATGGAATCCCTGGGAACCCTGCAGAGATGAGGCGATACACGCCAGTGCTGGCACCATGGAAAAATGTTCACAAAGTGCCAGCCAGTCTCAAGGACAGTGACCAGGCTGCAGAAAAGGGGAGCCCATCAGCTGAGGAGAGGCTGCGGCCCTGTGGCCTGACTGCAGGCCTTCTCAGGCCACCCACAGACACCTGGAGCCTGGCAGAGCGGCCAAGAGGCCAGCCTCTGCCTTTCCCCAGATTTTGTGAAATGATGTACACTGGGGTGGCATCAGCCTGGCACCTCTGGAATCTTTTCTCCCAGGCAGGTTACACCTGGAAGGGCTCTTGTTACTATACAGACCATTGAGTCCATAGCACTCTATAGAACATGATATCCTGCACATATCCTGCCTAGTAGATGGTCCCTAGTGTAATTTTTCAGAGATGAGAACTAACAAAAAGCACAATCTGAACAAAGCCCTTTCTATAAGGACCACTATCCCTCCCAGGGACAAGTGAGAATACAAGAAAGGTTAACTTTGGGGGAAAGAAAGAAAAAATTAGTGTTTTCTGCATAGGTTCTGGTACATGTATCATATAAGCAGTCAAGCTGGAGGAGTTTCAAACCACTAATCCTGTAGCACAGGAATGCTGTCTGTCATCAGTCTTCCAGAGAACAGGGCATGGATAGCAACCTCCCTTCCCAGCCTCTGGCTAGGGAGAAGCAAGACCAGGAAACAGTTAGTGATTAAGACAAAACTGGGAGCAGTGCTTCTTATGTATTTTGCTTTTCTACTTCCACAAAATAACATTCTTTTTAAGAATAAAGCTGAAGTAAAAAAAAAAAATCCAACTTTGTTCACTATAAATACAAGATGGCTCGTTATCAGGTGGTAAACCATGCAATATATAGAATACATGCTACAAAGACCAGAGAATTGACAGGTCATTTGTCCTGAGACGTCAGGAGAGGCCTAATGAGACAGACAGGGTTGAAAGAGAACACGGTCTGGAGAGACAGATGAGAGAGCACGGTTCAGGCAAAAACAAGATAAAAACAACTTGGTTAGGGACATAGTGATGGGACTAATGACAGCATGTGCGGGGGACTGGGATGACATCTATAATCCTACAAATCTGCCAAATTGAGAACCTCCAAGGCTGGGTTATCTAGATTATGGTCCAACAGGTGAAAAGCCCGTGGAAATTTTTTTTTTTGAGAGGCGATGAGAAGTGCAGAATGAAGACCTAGGCTCAAGTAGCTCCATCACTCCCCAGCTGTAAACTTTGAAAACTCTGCACATCAGTTATAAATGGAAAGAGTATTTTCTACTCTTCCTGACTCAAAAGGTTATAATGAAGATACAATGAAGAGCTGTGAAAAGAGACTTAACAGTCAATTACTACGGAATACTTAGTACTCACATTTACCACTTTTTGATAAGGTTTATTTTCACCTGTCTGGCCACTTAAGCACCACATTAACCTTTTCCAGAGGTTCATGGTACTTCCTGAGAAACTCCCGAAGTGTTGGTTGTTAGAGACTTCCTCTTGTACTTTTCTCCCCATGAGAATCACTGCTAACTTTCCAATTATGCTTTGGGCAACGGGATTCTTTCTTTTACTTTCACTACAAGCAAAAATCCATCCATCAGACTGGCACAGGGGTCGGCAAACTTAGAGATGGAAGAGCCAATCCTGCCCCTCACAACAATTTAAAAATTATTTGAGAGCCATAAAACAAATGAAATCACCATTATGTGAATAATAGCCTTTAAAATTTTTATAAATGAAACTATGATAGTTTTATTTTCATTTTCAATTTTACTTCAGGGCCACATGTATGTACCCAAAGAGCCGCATGTGGCTTGTGAGCTGCAGTTTGCCAACCCCTGGACTGGCAAGACCTCCAAAGGGGCACATCCTTTCATCTGTTTCTCAGAATAGATGGTCCATTCCCAAGTTAAATGAAACAATGTGTCTCAATGCTATTTTCTACAACTTTTCCAGAAATTTTCCATGGTACACCCTTAATGAACTGTTTCAATGCTTAACAACCTTCACCATTTGAAGGTTCTTCCTTCAGCTTAGCTTCAGCCAATTTCTTTTGATCCAATTATTGAGTTTGAGAGGGGCTGGTTATCACAGAGGCTAGCATAACTGTCTCAGAAATGGTAGGGAGTCCATTGCACCAAAAGATTTGCTGGGCTGTAGTACTGTCCTTCATTGAATATCTGTGTGATGTTGAGCAAATCACTTAATCTCTCTATGCCTCAATTTCCCACCTGCTCAGCTTGTCTCTCTGAGCCATGGTTTCCTCCTCTGTTAAAGGCAGTATCTTCCTTAACTAAAGGAGGTCACCAATTGCTGGGCAACTTGTGGACATCTATTGTAGAACAGTATGTTGTCATTACTATTTATGTATACATTCTCCCATGGATAGTGAACCCTAAGAAGGAAGGAACCTCATCTTTTTCATCTCTCCTCTAACATCTAGCACGTAGCCAAAGAAGACGAGTAATTTTTAGCCAAAATTTTCTGTGGTGAATTTTCCGCATCCACCTACAATTCCAGGTCTCAGGATGTACTCTACTTCCTTCCTTCTCTTCACACCAATGTCGGATGGGGGTGAGTGATGGGAGACGGGACCAGAGCCCTGGGAAGCTGAGACTAAGCTCGCTTGGATGAGTTTCACGACCGGCCAGGAAGGTGATTAGCCGGCGTCGCGGCCGAGGGGACATCGAGAGGGGACGACAATGCAACTCCAGGCTCCGCTTTGGCCCCGTTTTCCGTTTGCTCTTTTATTCTAGCGTGTGGAGTCAGGCTGAGCTCCCAGGCACTCTGCATTAGTAACACAACGGCGAGCGGCGCCCAGGATTTCCCAGGAGCGCGGTGAGAGCCGTTGGTGCCCGCGGCGGGCGCCCCCCAGCGCCCGGCAGACCACGGAGAAATCCTGGCCAGGTCAGCTCAGGTGGGGGTGACGCACCTGGAGGAGGCGTCCGCCGCAGGCTGGATAGAACCACAGCAGCAGGGGGTGGGGGAATGCATCTCAGGTGATCGCAGGCAGAAGCGTGGATCTGTACACACATAAGCATCGAAAACTCTCACGCACGGAGGACAGACGCATGCCTTGCCTTGTGGACGGCAGTCGTGTAGGACTACATCGGGCAGTCTCCCAAACGACAGTGTAGTGGTTGATTCCAAGTCAAGATGGTTGCATCGCCGAAGGAGCTCTTGGCAAGCAAGCACAGGACCTGTGGGAGGGGCCAAGGCGTGGGGCGGGACCGGGGGCGGGGCCTTGCGAGGGCGGGGCCAGGTGCTGGGCTGTCTCTGCTTGTCAAAAGGCAGCAGCCGAGCAGGAGGCGCCAGGAGCGCGGAGCAGCGTGTCCACCCGCCAGACCAGGTGCGGACCCGGGAGTGGCGGGGAAGGGAGTCCCAGGGTCTGCATTAGGCGCGGGATGGGGCGTCGGGGGTCCGGGGTCTGAAGGCAAGCACTAGAGTCTTAAGTCGCAGGGGCAAACTTGGCGACTGCTATCCAGGCTGTCATGCCATGAGGCTGAGGCACTGAGGGGACACTGGTCTGAGAAACAGCTGAAGTTAGTGCCAGGCTGGCTAGGGAGCAGCGACCTCTTCGGTTCTCGGGCAGCCTAACGCAGAAGTGCTCCGCTAGTACAGTGCTCCGCACTTGGTCAACAAGAAGCTTTTGTTTCCTTCTTCTGTCGGGCGCTTTGGCATAGAGTGGAAGAATAAGAAAGGGAAAGATTGGCTGTCGATGGCGCTAAGAACTCCTAGGGGTGGAGTGTGTGTAGCCTTATTATCTTGTAGGACCCAGGTGTGATCACCTGCCATGGTGGAGCTGGATCTTTTAAGTATTTTTCTTTTCTTTTCTTGACGTTTTTTTTTGTTAACCACCAATGATTTTAGACCTAGTTGGCCCTAGGGCACTGGATTTATTTTTCAGGAGATGTCCATTGATGTCCAGCAGAACTTAGAGGCAAGCATCTAATTGAGGAGGGGGGCTCCAGGAGTAGTTTCTGTTTGGGGAGTGAGGGTGCTGGGCGGGCACGTTGTGGGCAGTGGATGAGGGAAGATTCGGGGACAGTATCTAGGACGGAACAGCATGTGGGCTCGTAGACACTGCCCCCTTCCCCCACGGACTACTGACACAGACCCAGGCTGCCTGGGCTGGGAGAGCTCTGGGTCTCTGAGCCCAGGCCCTTCCCGCATCTCCTCCTCCTCTTCCTCCTCCTCCTCTTCCTCCTCCTCCGTGCGGTGAGTGAGTCAGCCTCCTGTCTGGGCTCAGTTGCAGCCAGAGGGGCCAGAGCCCAGGCAAGCAGTTGGGCAGGCATTTTCGGAGCATTGCAGAAGCTCTCCTGGGCAGAGTTCAGCTCTGCTCCAGCTCCCTGCTGGAAGACCGTCTTCCTCACGGCCAGTGGTGGCCAGGAACACCCAACCCAGCAACGATTATGGGATAGCTATGGTATTATTCCAGAAGGGGTTGACTGTGAAGGGGTTGTGGTAAATCCACATCTCTTCTCTCTCTTCTTCTAGGATCAGGAGGTGCATCCCAACACTGCTGAGTGTTCCAGCCATTCATTTCCATTTCTGCCTAGTGATCTTGTTAGCTACCCATCTCTGTTGGTGAGGTGGATGTGCACAAGAAATCGGGAAGGTGCTGGGACCCGGGAAAGCATGGTGCTGGCAAAAAAAGCCAGGCTAGAAAGTGGGGGTGGTTGGCTGAGATGGAAATGGATTTTCTGGACACTGGAGCCTCCACTCTATGAACCTAGAGTGTTGTATATTGAGGGGGGGGGGCTTCCTCATCCCTTCCTTGTCCAACTGCTGAAGGGGATCGTGGGTCCTTCTAGAATGGTGTCAGGACTGGTGTGCAGCAGGACCAGGAAGAAGTAAGACTGCAGATTTTTCTCTGGCTTTTGTTTTGAGTGCTTCAGATCCTTGAGCAGAAATAGGAACCCCAGAGCCCGTCGCCCCCCTCAAGTGGCTTCTCTGGACCCATTGAGAAGGCTCAACAGGCAGGCTGTGGGGCTGACTCAAACTGCAAAAAGCTGGGGAATTCACAGACTGTGCTCTGGCTGGTCCCATGGCTTCAGTGTGTCTGGTCCCCCATCAGCCAGGACTTGGACCCTTCCCAGGGTAAAGGATAAGAAAGGAGGGAAGAGAGAAGGGATAAGGAAAAAGCAGAGTGGGATAAGGAAGGAGGGAAAAGAAGAGAGAAAGTTTTCCCGAATCCTCGCAGCTCCTCAGCCAAAGCCATGACACTTGATTTATATAACTATTGTAGAAGGTCTGGTGCTGTTTGGGGTGCACTGGTTATCGGTGTTTATAGATTCTCGGTTTCCTTACCCCACTCAACCTCAAAAATGATCTCCTTTTGGAACTAAGTCCCAGAGAAAGCACCTAGAGGACATCCTGGACCCCAGCCCTTCACTCCCAGAATGAATAGCTAGTGTCCAAAGGCAATGTACTGCATGTTTGAAGGGAGGCCTGGGGCCCAGGGAGCCAGACCAAATGGATATCCAAGACAGGAGGAGGCGTTCCAGTTGTTCAGTCCTTTACCCCACATCCTAAGGAGGCGCTGACCATTCCCGCCAAGATCTGCCTCTGCTAAGAACCTACTGTTGCCAGCATCTAGCGGTTGGGTTCTAGTGGCCAGAGAACCAGAGTCAGGAGCACCTAGAAGTCTGAGCCAGGATGGCGTTCCAGTTTGTTGCTTGACAGGATGAGTTACAGGACTCCAGCTTTCCATTTGTCACTGCTGCAAGTGTGTTTTGGAAGCAGGTAGTGGGAAGTACAGAAATGACAGGATTTGATGAAGAGCCTTTTGTAGGCTCAGCATGGTGCCAGGCCCTCTGAGGGATGACAGGAAGCCGAACCCACCAGAGCAAGCCTCTTCCCCAAGATGACCTGAGCTCCGGAGAGGCAGCAGCTCTCAGGCTCTCCCTCCACTCCTGCCCAGTTCTGAGGGGAGCCAGCTGGACAGAAGCAGCCTGGCTGTCGCTTTGGACCACCAGGATGTTGCTTCTAGTTACACTTTTCTCTGATTCTCCCTTGACCCTCCTGTGTCAGTCCCCTCCTGGGTGCGCTAGAGAGAGTGACCGTTATCAGTTATTGTCTAAACTGGGAGACTTTTGAGTGAAAGAGGGGTGCTGCTAATGGTTATGTCAGAACAGCAGACACAAACCCCAACTGTCCAGGGTAACTAGAATGTGGTCATTCTAGTGGACATCACTCCAGACTCAGTGGAGGTCACAGCAGGGAAGATGTGTGGGAATGGGTTTAATGAGGATGGGAGGATGGGGGTAGCTTAATTCTGAGGACAGCCCCAACCTCCCAGCCTGCTCCCCTGTGTTATCCGCCAATTCCAGTCTTCTCCTTGAGGGCGACACTGCTCCCAGCCACCCTCTCCCAGGACCCAGCCTACCTCTCACTCTTGTGACTTCCCTTCACCCTTGACTTGTGACCGGCTTCACCTTTGGTTTTCCTGCCCCACCCCTACCTCAGACAGGGACAGGAAGGTCTGCCAAATCCCCTTCAGCTGCCCCTGGGGAAATCGGATTTATAATGGAGCCAACACTCAGCCCCATGCTTCCTCTTCCCGCTTCCCCCATTTCTGCAGACTCCTCATTTTGTCCATCTAGCTTCCCAGATCTCTGGGGGCCACACCATCCCATGGGAAAGTCCAACTCGAGGTCGGGTAGACAACCAGGAAGAGAAGGGTAGTCAAACCTTGCCCATGTGGAGAAAGGGCACAGGTCACTTATAATCAGATTCTGGAGATACAGTAAGCAAAGTGAAAGTCAGAGCCAGAGAGAAGCTGCTTAGCAGGAGTTGGGGTCAGTTCTCGTAGCCACTGGAGTCTGACTCTCTGGTCTGGTCTGACTATTGGGGAAATGGTCCAGGGTGGGGACAGACTGTTCTTGCTCAACTCAAGCTATAGGCGTTGGTGGCAGCTACTGCATCCTGCCCCGGTGACATGTGGAAGAAAAACTGCCCTCCCTTCTGAGTCCTTGGTCCTTGTGGTCCAGATGCTCAGGGTGGGCTCCCTGGAGAGTCTCCAGAAGAACAGTGTGCTAATAGTTGGGCGTCGGTTGTGGGGGGTGGAGCCTCCTTGATGACTGTGCAGTGATTCTGTGTACTCTGGCAGGAAGTAAGTCATTCTCATCACTGACAAATGACAAGGGCAGATGAAGACCTCTTGGGAAGTCCCGCCCTTTGAAGTGACTTGTGGGGAGAAGGGAGGGGAGAGACCCCTGGGCCGGCAGGGGGAGGAAGGGGTGGCTGGTAGGTAAATGGCAGGAGTGAGAGGCAGAAGCAGCAGGCTTCTGAGTATGTGTCATGCTTTTGCAAACCTGCCCTGCAGGTCCCGTGCCAAGGAATAGACCAAGCAGTGTTCCCAGAACCAGATGTGACACAAAGTCCCCATTCTGCGCAGGGGAGAGTCCTGGTCCCGAGCAGAGCGTGGGCAGCTGCACCATCGGGAAAGTGGAGTTTGGGCAGGACCCAGCGGCTGCTTCCCAGGAAGCTGCTACTGCCTCTCGCTGGTTTTTTGACAACAGGTTGAAGCTTTGAGGTATTATGCAAGGTGTGACATTCCAGGCACTGTGGGGCACCCACAAAGCCCAAGGCTTAGCGGGTGACACATCCAGTGTGTGCCACCTGCTGGCACTGGAGTTGTAGCTCCAGGAACAGATACTCGCTGAGCCCTCATCTCAGTGGTACCAGGTGCTGTGCTAGGTACGTGGCACGCGTGGCCTCCCAGGCCTGCCACAACCTTGTGGGCTAGAACCACTGTTATGTTCCTTCTACAAATGGGAAGCTGAGGCTCGGTGAGGTTGAGCAACATACCTAGGTGACACAGCTGGTGGGTGAGAGTGTCAGGATTCACACTTGGGTCTGTCTTCACCTCTGTGGAGCCCTACTCCCTCTGCATTTATGGACAGCCACAGGACATTCAGGGCCATGCCTTGCACATCATAAGCCTGCAATAAATGTTTGTGAGCGGCAGGGGTAGATTCACTAACTAGTTTGAACAAGTTGAACTGGGAGCAAGCTTGGTTTGCCCAAAGGTTACTCTGGGGACAGTGGCCTCTCAGAAGGAGGCTGCCTCTGCCAGCACCCTCAGGCCTCGGAGCCTCTCCAGCAATCCCAGGTACCTTACTGGGGTAAAAACAGACAAGAACCCGAGAGAGGTGGCTCTGTGCAGAGCGATTGCGAGGGAGCAAATGAGACTTGAATGGTTTGGAAGGTAAATAAGAAACACTCTTCCAATTTCCAAGAAGCCACTCGATTGATGACCTTCTATGTGCTACGTGCACCAAGGAAGAAAAGGCCATTGTCCCATTGTCACCTGGGGGCTATTCTCACCTGATTTACCTCTTCCCC